TGAGACAGCATATTGTTGTAATGATTGAAAATCTGAAAAGACCCAGACCTCAACGTTTCACAAGAATTCAGGAATGCCCTTTGTCAAGCTACAGATTTGAATAAGATAATAAGCTGGTTTAGGGCTAAAGGTGGATTGCAGGAGCAAGATCTGAGGTGTTAAACCAATCAGTCACAGAGACACGAAAACCTTTGTGCTTCCTGTCAAAATGTCCTTGAAAAAACAATATTCACGTGTGCTGTGAAAGCACGTCTCAGCTGAAGCATGCCTAAAATGTGTAACTAACACAAACCTGCACATTAAAAAAAAAATACTCTTAGGCATACTCCTAAGATATATTATTTAAATAAATGCATTCATGAATGTATATCATTGAATGAGGAATGGGGAAAAAAAAAATGAAATTATGGCGCACAATGCCTCAATAAAGGTCTTGCGTTGCACGCCTGTTGTTGAAATGATTGAAAATGTGAACTAGCCGAGACCCCGGCATTCTCCCAAGAATTTAGAAATGCCCTTTTGTCAGACCAAGGATTTTAATAAGATTTTACAAAATAAGTAAGAAAAGTTTTTAGAGAAAGTATTTCAAAAGCATGTTTTCATTTTTAATCTTACCTTAAAGGAGCTGATCTTGTTTCCAGACAGATTGAGTTTCTGAAGGTTGACATTAGGATCAAGGCTGTGCCCTTAGAAGAAGTTAAAAATTATTTGATTGCCATCATTATTTTTCACATAGCTCGCCGAATCTCCATCAAACTGAACACAAATTACTCTGAGAACATACCGATCTTTTCAATAATGTTGTCAGCAAGGTTTAGTTCTTTAAGGTCTAGAAGTGTGTCCAAGCCCTTTAAGAGAAAACAACAACAACAACCACATGTGGAGACTAAGTTAAGCCTTTCTGAAGGTCTTTCAAAGTTAACTTTGGAAATTGGCCGATTTTTCAGTCCAGTCATTATACCCGATCATTTTCAGACCAATGTTTGTTTGTTTAGCCACTCATCACTGACCCATGAGTCGTTCAAGTATTTGAAAAAAGCACCTACCTCATGGGATGAACCAGTGTTGTCTCTAAGCACTTTTTAAATTGGTTCTTTACAAAAAAAAGAGAAAACCAGACAAGTGGAGGGAAAAAGGGAGACCTTAAAAAACTATCTACACAATCTGAAATTGATGGAATTATTTAGGCAGAAATGTACCATCAGCCTTTGAGCCACCATTCAATACCATCTGGAAAGTATCTGATTGACAACTACTTCATTTTCCAGCAATGATCCCAAACACATTGCCAATGCAGTAAAGGTCTACCTTGTCATGCTAAGATGGTCATATCAAATATTGACTTTCAAGCTTTTCAGAATTCTACAAACTCTGTTTTTGACATATATTATCATATATGTTTGCATGTTTCAATAAATTGCTGCACCTGCTGTATTTCCCATTTTCCTAGCAAAATATAAAGAAATGAGTGGTGGCCCACAACTTTTGCACAGTACTATGTGTAAAAGAGCAGTTTTGTTCTGCTAAATAATTAAAAATCTTGCATTACAAACACAGAAAAGCAAAGGAGATACAACCCTAACCTTAATCTTAGTTATGCAGTTGTTATTGATCCACAGCACCTCTAGGTGGACCTGCAAGTCCAGATTCTTTATTTCACAGATTTTGTTCTCATAAAGGTACAGTTTCTCCAGCTGCAGGCAGTTCTGTAGTCCAGATATTTCCTGCAATAAAAAGAAAGTAGATTGTTTGATGCATGTGGCACAAAACACACATGCTTAAATGTGCATGCGACACCTGTTTATATCAGTCCTCATATAGTTCATATTTCTTTCACGGTTTTCAGACTTTTTGGGACAAAAAAAATCAGTGTATCCATGCACCTCCTCCTTTTTCAATCCAGCTCATTCATAGTTATCACCCTGCCTGCAGGAACACCTGCACGTGTGTCTTTGTCAGCTGGGGATAATTATGCTTAACACACAGGATTCAATGGTGGTGTGAACTAATATTTCATATTTTATAGGTGAAAAAGACACATTACTAAAGAATCTTCACTTGCATCCCCATGGCAAAATATCTAAAGGACAGGAATGATTCAAGCTATCACCAGTTGTTGTTACCAGCATTTATTAGCATAGCAAACACACCGTCAGATGGCACTGGACTATCCAGAGCTCCTGAAGCAGAGGACAGCACTCAAGCCCATCAATGTGCTCTATGTTCTGGCCTATTATGGTAAGCTGGGACAGCCTTGGGAAGAAGGAAAGGCCAATCATGCGGGGGAAACCAGAGAAGAACATCTCCAGTGATGTGATGTTGCTTCCCTCTTGTGCAATTTTTTCATAGGGGACTCCATTAGCCATGCACTGTTAATTAAAAACAGTAAAGAATGAAGTAAATAGGAGAAACCCGCACTGATTTTTTTTATACGTATTCAAAACTGAATATTTATGTGATAGTTACCAGTTTTTTGATCACTTCCTCTTCACTGCGGTTCTTTTGCTTCTCATTTGACAACATATCTCTGCAATTAATTAAAAATATGTTGCTGAAAATATCCTGCCTTATTTTTACTGAGAGAAAACGAATGGACAAGTTAAAGTAGAGAGTTAGTACAGGTAAACCTACCTGTAATAACTGAGGTCAGCAAGTAAGAGTACGAAGTCACCACACATCAGCGCTAGCTGTGCTAGCTTCTAACGTTGTGCTTGTAAATAGTAAGTACGACAGGAGACCGTTTAAATATCAATCGGCTAAATTTAGTGTACATCTAAATCAAAATTATTTTCCATGGAGAACTGAACAGCAGCAAACCTCGCTGGTTGCTTTAGCCAGTGTTAGCCATCAGTCTGTATCCAGGCAAGAGCGTCTGGTTGCTAAGACAGACTGCAACTTTTTGAGGTCCTGCTCATATTAAAAGCGGCCGCATGAGGGCGCCATATGGCAAGGGACATTTTTTTAAACATCAAACCATAAAATGCACACAACTATTTCTCCATTTAAAACATTACCATGGGATACATGAGGAATTTATGCCACTTTTGAAAAAATAAAAACATATTCTTTTCGCATTATTAAAAAAACATCTTTATTATTCTCCTCTTTAGGCCATGTGTCCAGTTTTAATAAGCTAACTGTCGCTATTTTCTCAAACCAATGCTAAGCACTGGTTTGACTGAATCCTCTGACCTCATTTATAGGCCGAAAACACCTTTTTGATCTTTGACTGTGTCCCAAATAAAGTGGTGCCAACCGTAAGGGCTCGCGGACACTATGACGTCAGCGTCGGAGCAGTGAACTAAAACAATCAACCTCACTCCTTCTCCTTCTCCTCTCACTCCCGACTGCACCGCCTCATCTGTGGCGTCCACAAACCCCGGTCTCAGCTGACAGACGCCAGCCAGGAGCCGCACTATTGTTGTTGTTGTTGTTGCGCGGTTTTCTCCGTCACACATCCTAGCGCAAACGATTACGGCAGAGAGAGAAGCGGCAGCAGCTTTGTGTAGCTAGTATAATATCATCTGTCCGACGACAGGAAAAAGGCATGTCTGCGCAGCCCGGTGAGGAGCTAGGCTCGGAGGGGAAGTGGTTTGGGGATGACTATGAGAGGAACGGCCTGTTTGGTAACACACAGAGCCGCTTCGGCGAGCTGCGCGAAGAATTGAAGCCGAGAGGCGGCGACGCGTTGGGCGACCTGGATCAACAATTTCATCCTTTCCAGGACGACGGGAAAAGGCCTCCCGTTGCTATGGAAACTGCATCTACAGGTAAAGCTTGCACTTATTGCCCTTAAATGCTTAAATATGTGACAGTTTATAATCAGTCTAGCCACGTTACGTGTCTTCTTTTTCAGAAGGTAACAGGACGATGTTACGGTGTGAATAAATACAGTGTGAGGGACGCAGGCGAGAGCATTTATCAGAGAATTAGCGTTACGACAGACGGCTTGTCTGTAAGCCCGGGATAAAACTTCCGAGCTCGAAAACAAAAACAAAGCCAAGAGGAAGCAACTTCAGTGATGCCGTAGGGGAAAAAATGGCAGACATATTTCCAAACTAAACTCGGCAACAGCCCTTTATAGTTATGAAACGTCATATAGCTCATGACCGAGTGGTTTTCCGCTCAGGAGACAAGAATCTGCTTGGATGAAGGCAATCCCAAATAGCCTGTTGAACTCTGAATGGCCTGTTCATTACCATAACTACTGTATCATCTCGTACATGTGGGCTAGGTCTACATCTATATTAGAAATATTTGCTTGTTGAGAAGGTGAGGCTACAAATTACAGGCCTTAGCTTACAAATCCAGTGTCTGGATAGAAAGAGAACAGCTTAATCCCTAAGCATAAGATTTCATTAGTCCAGTAACAAAACTAAAAATACAAAAAAGAATGGGTAACAGAGAGGACACGTTTATAACATAGATGAATAAACATGAAAGAACCTAATATAATGATAATAAGAAGAAGAAGAACTCACGAACTAGATGAGTTTGGAAAGGTTTTGGGAACTTTAGGGGAGTTGTTGTCTGTCTTTTATATTTATGCGCAAGAGAGGGGTTACATGATACATCCCAGTTTTTGTGTGCACCTCCGTGGATAGTGTCAGTGATGTCATCACATTGCTGGATGCTGGACTTTGTGATAAGATAAGGCAGACCTTGGTTCTGGATCCGTCATCATTCTCCTTAGCACTGCTCATCTCAAGCTGCTATTTTTAATCCTTAACAGTGTTCACTGTTCACTTGGCGAGCAAAACTAGAGCCCTGCACTTTTATTCACCAATCCACTGAAAAATTCATGAGCTTGTGCTTTAAAAAAAAGAGCTGCCCAGTTTTTCTTCCTTGCTGCTCAGGTTTTTCACATTTCACTTGCTGCTGCTTCTGCAGCAGCTGCTCCAAAACAGAAAAGAAAACATCTAGCCACTGGTAAATCCTTTAAGGACAACAGCATAGCTGAATGCTTAAATTGGACTTAAATCCTTTGATGCACAGAGCTGTCCATGAAAGTATCCAAATCTGAATTGTGCAGTAGGAAAACCGCTTGGAAAATTGACATAAAACACACAGAAACGCTGCTGAAGCATTTAAAGCAAGTCAGTGTGACATTTTAAACTGGCTTGTCAGCGTTTGTCCTCTTGTTCTAGAAGACGTAAACAGAGCACTTGCTCTACTTTTTGGCATTCTGTGCCAGACAGGCTCAAACATGGGTAGGTGCATGCAGACAAACACACACACACACTTTGTTTTGGTTCCTAAAAGAGGAAAAGAATAGCTTTGTGCTGTTCCTCGGACTCCCATTGAGCCGTATCCATACCAGTGAAGTAATCCACTTTGTCAGTTATGTTCTTGGTGGGAACAGTGCAGATCTCATCACATCTAGCAGGGCAGAGAGGACGTTTCACTCTTATGTGGTCATGTTATCGTCCAGTCTGATCTTTGTCAAAGACATTCACTCCTAAAAGTCCACTCATGCTTTTCTTTTTCTCTTCTCTGCGTTGCTGAAAAAATTGTTTTGAGGTTGGAATTTTTTTGGCTTTGAACATAATGAGATTGGAAACCATATCTTTCTGCAGATAATCAATCCATGTCTGTTCTAAATCATGTTCACAGCTCTGATGTACCCACAGACCCCGATAATGCTGATTTCAGCCGTATTAAATCACCACAGGGCAGAACCTTATCCTCGGATCGGATAACCTCTTTGATCTAAAAGTTTCCCATCCTATAAAAGTTTCAAGAGTCACGAGAAAAAGAAGGAGCGGAAGGAGCTCTGACCAGTTCTGATGTGCTGCGAGAACACAACAGTTGGGTTTGGTTGTTCTGTAGCAGATGGTGTTTCTGATAGCTTGGGCCTGAATTCTGCCAGTGAAGAAAAAAAACTGAGCACATAAGATACACAAACAGTGACACTGCCTTTACTTTTTCATAACTCCTCCTGGTGCATCATTTTATCACAACCTGAAAAAGCATATCGGTCATAAGAAACTTTCTACTCCAATCCAGTGGCTGATGGGTGGATTAGACTCACGTTTTTCTCCTTTTAGCACAGATCAGTGACAAGGATGAGACAGCATATGTCTGGCTGGGACTTTTCCATATCTTTGAGATAGAAAAAGCACTTAGTGGACTGCATAAGCCAGCACAGTGCTTTTAGCCGTGAGAGCTGTTCCCAAGGGGAGGGGGGAGGGGGTAAGCAGTACAAGGTCTTTTCAGAGCAGATGATAAAGATGCAAGATAAAATAAGAAAGAAGGGGGCTTAATGGTTAGAGAGGTGAAGCTGTGATGACAAGGCTGGTGTTTCAAAAGGCTGGCGTGATGGGAAAGAGTAAAAATATGATAGACAACACTTTCCTTTAAGGTTAACTTTAACTTGGTATCTTATGGTCAGCTGTGAGTGTTTCTGCTGTTGCATGAGCCTTACATATCTTAATAATAGTTCATCTGTCCACCTTTTCTTCAGCAATCTTGATAACTCAGTCAAACTTGGTGGATGCAATGCTGAAGAGCCGAGCGAGTGCGTTGATGAACCTGAGGTTCAGTGCATAATTCCCCATGCTTCCCATATATTGACTGCTGACTACTCCATTTTGTGTGTAGGAGTGGCATCCACAATCGCCACGCTCTCCACGGCAATGTTTATATTCAATTAATGCATCCTTATGCCAGTCCTCTTTTCACAACCATAATTTTTAGCTTGTCTGTGTGTGACACGTTTAGGAGACATCTGTAAATTGTAGCTTTAAAGAATTAACCTGGGTTGCAGTCCTTCTGAGTTGGCACTAGTTTTAATAATGTGTAATCTGGATTTACAGTCTCCTGGACCTGTTACCTAATGCTGAGGCATATAAGGACAAATAAAGGTGAGGTAGACCAAACTCAAGAAGCTCTTTTGAAGAGGGACCATAGAAAAGCATTAGTGCGCTCATTATATCAATAAGTCAACATTTTAGATCCCATGTGTTCACCCGGAAGGCAATTCAAAGCCAACATGTGAAACATGATGCCATGTATCTGATCTTACCAGCTCTCTAGCGCTGAGCAGAGAGTCCTGAGTAATCCCTGGGCATAGTGCGAAAGTGCTCTCGGGATTAGAATTACTATCAACAAAGGCACTCACAACGAGCATTGACCATTAGGTTTTTTTTTGTGTGTGGGCGTGTAAATTATGGTAGTCTTTGTCAGCTTGCCTTCCTACCTGCATCCACACTTTTAAAAGCGAATTGCTGTTTAAAAGTCACGCTAAATTGACCCGATGAGAGCGGTGTGCAGACGCTCGGTCTGGATCCTCCCACATTCTCTCTATTCATCCATAAAGCTTCATCCAAGCAGGAAAGATAGAATCAATACACTGGAAGACAAGCACTGTATAACAGCTACATTCTAAATGGGGATAGATTTTATTTAAACTGCCTCTGAATGGATTTATTTTTGACAGAGGCTGCTGGAACAATAAAAATTGTCCTGGTGGCCTTAAGTGATTTTTTTTAAACAGTGGTGGATTCACCAAACATTTCTTACAGTAATTGTATGCCCTTGTCATTTCGGATCAATGCAGCAGAGCACTTGAATCCATCTGCCCAGCTGCTCTCCTATCGACCTCAGCTCTCAGTATAGGCTGTTTTTGTGCTGCCCTTTTTTTCTTTTTCTTTATCATCATTAAAATGTGGTACTCAGTGATTGGTATTCATCTGCTTGTACATGAACTTAAATGTAAAAGCCAGAGCTTTTAGAGCCAGAGACCATTACAACTTTAACTTCATTTAAACACTGATATACAAAAGACTCAATTTAGAAATCTATTATTATACCAGCTACCAGGAAATCATAGTGAACCCTAGAGTTATAATTTCAATCATCCACATCAATCACAAAAGGCAAATACTTAACTTTCTTCATAAAATACCACCAGTTAGTTAAATAAATTTACCAGCATGTAAACCACTTGAGCTCTGCTAACACACTTACAAAACTCAATAAAGGGAAACAGAAGAATAAAAACAAGTGAATAATATGCACTTCCATGTACTTTTGGCTTATTTAAATGTTTTGTGATTTTGACACATGCACATGTCTTTGGATATAGTCCATGTTTAGCATGTTTTTGTGCAGTTTTTGTCTTTCCGGTAAAGAAAGGACAACTTGTAGGAAGTTCAAGCCCCAAATGCACAGATGGGTTGAAAGAAGAGCACTGTAATAGAGCCATTTCCACAAGGTCATATGGTGAAAGAGAACACCTGAAAAGTAACACCATTGCTCATTGGGTCATGGGTGGAGTAATGGATTCCTAACAGAGCTGTGAAGTCAGAGATGCCTAAAGGAGAAGCTCAAATACACTATATGTTTTTGGAAAACTGCACTTTTGGGGGGGTTGGGATTTTACTTCCGTACACCACAACACTTGAACTCAAACAATAAAGATTATTTTAAGTGTAGACTGTCAGCTATAATTCAAAAGTATTGCCTTAACTGACGTTTGATACCAATATTTAGAAGTTCAAAATGAATGGAACAAACTAAAATTTTTAACTGTAAAGATTGTTATTTATGCTTGGATAAAACTCTTTTTCAGTAAATGACTGGCTGTTGTCACATCACCACATGTTGTGTTTCCTCCCTTGATAAGCTTGTCGCTCTGCCTTAAGTTTGGTCTTCGGTAACTAAAAAACATTCTGTTGGGTTGAGATGAGGTGACTTGGTCAATGAAGAATATCTCATTTAGGGGTGGGCGATATAAACGATATACTATGGAAGCCCGTTTCCGCCACTA